TACAGTTGGTTTGTTTTACAGTCTTGGTCGAGCGGAGGGCGCGCAGCTCCACCGTTGCCAGGACGCCGCGTAAACACCCGAGCGCGCGCAGCCAGGTGCGCTCCTTGGGGCTGCTGGCTGCTGCGTTTGCGGCGGGAGGTGGTGGCCGCGGTCCCACGAGAGGAGGTATTTTTCGTCAGCCAAGATGGTGAGCCAGTTGGGGGACTCGAAACTACTTGTTTATTTCTTGATTTAAGTCTAGTTTGGCGCTCATTTGCTTCTAAAAAAGGATTTTAAGTGCTTAATCTGGGCATTAATTGGGGAACTTGTATTTGCTTTCGGAGGCCTCAGGTGCTGTTAGAAGGGACGCTCGCGGTGGTTTCCAGCCTTTTTGGCTCTTTTCGGATAGTGTATTAAATACATCTTTAAATCTGCCCAATAGAACCTCTGAAGAAATAAGTAGAAATAAAGGTGTAGGAGAAAGCGAATGGATAAATAGCAGCAGCGAGTTGACCTGTTACACTTATATTAGGAAAACCTGAGCAGCTTCTGAACAGCAGTTTATGGCCCTGTGATGGTAGCCGTGGTGGTGGTGGTGGGTGGAATGAGGGGAGGAGAAATTCCCGGGTGGTAGTAAAGATATGGGTCTGTAGGGGGCGATTAATCCTAGCACAGCTATTTTTTAGCTGCAGAAACTTGGGTAAAGTTACTTTTCATGTCTCATCCATAAAATAGGAAATAATAGCAATACCTATTTGATCGATATGTGAACATATTTATCTACCACGTTGACTTTTTATTCGGTATACTCCTTTGAATTTAGGAAGGAAGCCAGGCTCTTTGTGTCCTTTGTTACTAAGGTTTATATCAATATATTTTTTTAGATTTTGGAATATCAAAATATGCATCTTTTTTTCTTCCATCGTAGGCTTCCAAAAGGAGAAATATGAGCTGTAGTGAAAGGCATCAGAAATTAGTAGATGAAAACTACTGCAAGAAATTACATGTCCAAGCGCTAAAAAACATCAACAGTCAAATCAGGAATCGAATGGTGCAGAATGAAAATGATAACCGTGTTGAGCGCAAGCAGTTTCTCAGATTATTACAAAATGAACAATTTGAGTTGGATATGGAAGAGGCCATTCAAAAGGTAAGTTTTTCTATTCATTGTTACATTTTGTTTTCTCCATTTTGCACCTTGGAAATGATGAAAGCGAGCTGCTAATGCTGGAAATGAGTAGATAAATAGCAGCAGCAGGTAAGGGATGCCGGATTGTGCCTCAGCTCAGTGTAATCGGAAAGAGCTGGGTTTCTGGAGCCGGCCTGTCTTTGAATCCTACTACTGCTATACCTTAGCCACGGACCCTTGAGTAAGTTGCTTTTTCTTTTTTTTTGAGACGAAGTATCGCTCTGTCACCCAGGTTGCAGTGCAGTGGCACGATCTTGGCTCACTGCAACCTCCGCCTCCGGGGTTTAAGCGATTCTTCTGCCTCAGCCTCCCGAGTAGCTGGGACTACAAGCGCCTGCCACCTGGCCTGGCTAATTTTTTAATTTTTAGTAGAGACGGCGTTTCACCATAATTGACCAGGCTGGTCTGAAACTCCTGACCTCGTGATCCGCCTGCCTCGGCCTCCCAAAGTGCTGGGATTATAGGGGTGAGCCACCACGCCCAGCCTGCTTTTTTATGCTTTTTCTATAAAATGGGGAATAATAATAGTACCTCCTACTTAGGATTGTTTTAATAATGAGTTAATACATGCAAGGCCCTTGGAATAATGCCTGATATAGAATAAGCACTCAGATTTTTTTAACATAAATATGAACTCAGTCATTACTACAAGTTTTGTTCCTGTGAGTACAATTGTGTTGCCTTTCATAAATTTCTAAAAACAGAAGTTTAAGGGTGTCTTTAAAAAATTTACTGAAATTAACGTATACATTATTAAGTGGTAGAAAATGAACACTTTGGTATATCTCAACATTTTAAGGGATTAAGGTGGTAGAAAAGGGAAACTAATAAGAATCGAGACATGACAGAAGTGAATTCTTATAAATACATGAAAGGTATTCTGCTATGTCAGTAGTTTTTGAGTACCTGCTGTATGTTAAACATTTTGGAGGATTTTGTGGAGAATAACAAAAGCAAATTTAAAAAATGGTATCCACCCTTCTGTGTTCCAAATTCAAAAGCTTAGATACGATTTTTTTTTTAACTCTGCGAAAGCAGATCTTAGGGGTTGGATATTTTTCCTATTCTTTTTATTATTTTTTCTTTAATTTGAAAGAAAATCCCAGGTATCAACACCAACTCTTTCCTACATACTTAAGAATACATCTAACAAAATATGGATGTTTTCTTATATGGAGTATCATACTATTATCTCGCCCATTCCATAAACACATTTCTGTGATTGTGTCAAAAATCTGCTTTTACAGTTGGTTTGTTTTAACCAAGATCCAAGCAAGGTTCATACTCTGTATTTGGTGGTTATGTCTGTTTAAGTCCCTCATAATTGAAAACAGCCCCTCCTTCACCTTTTTTTTTTTTGACTTCATGTTTTTAGCTTGTTAAACTAAGCCAGTTGTTTTATCCAGTAGCCCACATTCTGAATATATATGTTTGCTTCCTCATGGTCCTTTAATTTATTTCCCTATCTGTTATATTTCCTCTAAATAGAACCTAGCCATAAAGACGCAGTTAGATTGCGGTCCACCTTTTTTGGTGAGAATACTCCATAGGTGAGGCTGTCCTTGTCATTGTGTCACAACAGGGAGCACATGAGGTCTGGTTGTTCCACTTTTAGTGATACCAGTATTGATCAGTGGGTTTAGGGAGACAGTCTGGTTTTTCCACTGTAAAGGTTCCCATAAACTTTCATCTGTGGTTTCACAAAAGAATTTTTTCTTTCATTAGTGGTTACAAAAACTGATTTTCTGATTCTTTTACTCCTTTCACATTTAATTAGCTGAAATTCCTTTGTAAAGAACGTTACCTCGGGCCAGTGCAACTGCTCACTCCTATAATTCTAGCACTTTGGGAGGCCAAGATGGAAGGATCGCTTGAGCCCAGGAGTTCAAGGCTGCAGTGAGCTATGATCTTGCCACTGCACTCCAGCCTGGATGACACAGACCCTGTTCCCCTGCCCCTGCCCCACAAAAAAAAAAAAAAAAAAAGAAAAAGAAAAAGAACTTGTATTATTGACTAGGGTTATTTATTCTTACTGAAAAAGGAAACAGTTAATTTTCAGAGTAAAGAGTTGGTGTCCTATTTTCTTCCATTGGTGTCTACCTATCTTGTGGTTGTTTTATAAAATTTTGTTTTTAGTTTTTGATTTTGTCTCTTTTTAAAAATACCTTTATGGACTAATAGATATTTATGTACTTAATTGCATTTATTATTTTTGATGCTCAAATTATTTCATCCTTGGCCATTGGATGCCCTTTTATATTGCCTCTGTGTTTTTTTTTTTTTTTTTTTTGAGACAGAGTCTTCATCTGTCTTCCAGGCTGGAGTGCAGCCGCACCATCTTGGCTCACTGCAACCTCTGCCTTCTGGGTTCAAGAGATTCTCCTCCCTCAGCCTCCCAAGTAGCTGGGATTACAGGCCTGCACTACCATGCTAGGCTAATTTTTGTATTTTTAGTAGAGATGGGATTTCACCATATTGGCCAGGCTGGTCTTGAACTCCTGACTCCAAGTGATCCGCCTGCCTCAGCCTCCCAAAGTGCTTTGATTATATGTGTCAGGCACTGTGCCCAGCCCTCTGTGCCCTTTTGACAATATTTCCTTAATCTTTGATACCTTCCTTGCTTTCTGTCAAAACAAAATGTGCTAGGCTTGTGATAATTTTATGTGTCAACTTGACTGGGCCTTCGGGTTTCTAGGTATTTGATAAAACATCATTCTGGGTGTTTCTGTAGGTTGTTTTGGATGAGATTAGCATTTAAATCTGTAAACTGAGTATAAAGCACATTGCCCTCCCTAATATAGGTGGGCCTCATCCGATCAGTTGAAGGCCTGAATAGAACAAAAAGATTGACCTTCCTTTGAATAAGACAGAATTCTTCATGCCTGATTGCCTTTCAGCTGGGACATTTGCTTTTTTTTTCTTGTCATTGAATTGAAACTAAAACATTGGCTCTTTCTGGGTCTTGAGCCTGCTGGTTCTCAGGCTTTAGGACTCAAATGAGAACAAAACCATTAGTTCTTCAGCTTGCCAGCTCACCTTGCAGATCTTAGAACTTGCCTGCCTTCATAATCACTCACTCTAGAGAACCCTGACAAATACAAAGCTTATCTCTTATATTTCTTGTCCTACACCTGGAATCAGCCATTGTGCTAGGAAGCCCTGTTATCATTTAGTGGAAATAATATTTCAAGAAAACTTGGGTGCTAGGTTTACTCATAATTCTTGGGTTATAATTGCTTCCAGGTCTTTTCAGTGAACAATCTTGGAAATATGCATATTTTTAACTTTTTATTTTGAGATAAGTTTAGATTTATAGGAGAGTTGCAAAAATAGTGTAGAGAATTTGCATATACCCTTCACCTGACTACTTCTTAACATCTTACATAGATGAAAATCATAAAAAAGTTATCAAAATAGAGAATTTACCTTTGATAGAATACTGTTAACTATGAGATTTATTCAGATTTCATCAGTTTGTCCACTAATGTCTTTTTTTGCTAGTTGAGGACCACAGATTGCATTTAGTTGTCATGTCTCCTTAGTTTTTAGCCTTGAGAGGAATATGACTATGTCCTGAGTCACATAGCATGCTGCTACAACTTCTGCTTTTCCAATTACAGATTAAATCCTCCTTATTCTTGTTCTGTAAATGATTAGGAAAGACACCAGAGATAAGACCCCTCAAGATCATTACCCTTTCTCATGGAATGTTCCTTGGAATGCAACTAATTAAATTGCTATAGTATATACACTGACCTTATATGGAAAATGTTGCAACCCTGTTAAGCTTCTCTATCTCTACCTATATAAGTGAAACCTTAACTTCCCCACGTTGGAACAATGACCCATTATTTTGCAGTTTGTGTTTCCTGAGTGGCTATCCTCAAGCTTTGCACTTGAATAAACTATAGTCATATATATGTACACACACACACACACACACACACACACATACACACATACACACACACATATATATATATATTTTTTTTTTTTGAGGCAGAGTTTCGCTCTTGTTGCCCGGGCTGGAGTGCAATGGTGCAATCTTGGCTCACTGCAACCTCTGCTTCCTGGGTTCAAGTGATTCTCCTGCCTCAGCCTTCCAAGTAGCTGGGATTACAGGCATGCGCCACCACGCCCGGCTAATTCTGTATTTTTAGTAGAGACGGGGTTTCTCCATGTTGGTCAGGCTGGTCTCCAACTCCCAACCTGAGATGATCTGTCCTCCTCCGCCTCTCAAAGTGCTGGGATTACAGGCATAAGCCACTGTGCCCGGCCAGTCATTGTTTCTCCTCCATTCTTTGTCTCCTCTAGTTTGTAAGAATTCTTCACTTTTTCCTGTCTTTCATGACCTTGACAATTTTGAAGAGTACACGTTAGTTGCTGTAGTAATTTTCAATTGCTAAGTAACAAATTACCACAAACTTAGCAGCTTAAAACAACACCCATTTGTTATCTCAGTTTCTGCAAGTCAGAAATCTAGGTGTGGTGTACCTGGGTTCTAAATATATTCCCGAGAGATAATTGAAGGCATATATCTACATAAAACTCATACATGAGTGTATATAGCAGCATTATTCATAACACCCAAAAAGTAGAAACAACCCAGATGCCAATCAGCTGATAAATGGATAAACAAAATGTGTTACATCTGTACAACGGAATATTACACAGCCATAAAAAGGAAAGAATTACTGATACATGCTACAACATGTTAAAAATATTATGCTAATTGAAATAAACCAGATACAAAAGGCCACATATTGTGTGAATTCATTTATATGAAATATCCAGAATATGCAAATCCATAGAGACAAAAAATAGATTAGTGGGTGGCAGTGATTGGGGGAAAAGGTGAGAGGAATAGTGAATGACTACTAGTAGGTTACAGGTTTCTTTTGGGGTGATGTAAACATTCAGGAGTGTTGACATTTTATGCCACACACAAATGTAGACACGGATGTGCTATATATAGTGTGTACACACAATCTTCTATATAGATCTATGGCATTTATAAAAATATATTTATAACATGGCAGCTTTATAGCTGCCATTAGCACAGATGTTTATAATATATAGCAGAATTATTCATAAATGTCAAAATTTAGAAGCAACCAAGATGTCCTTCAATAGATAATGGATAAACTGTGATACATCCAGATAATGGAATATTATTCAGTGCCAAAATGAAATGAGCTATGAAGCCATGAAAAGATGTGGAGGAATTTTAAATGCACATTACTAAGTGAAAGAAGCCAGTCCAAAAAGGCTCCATTCTGTATAATTCCAACTATGTGACATTCTGGGAAAGGCAAAACTACGGAAACAGTAAAAATGTAAGTTGTTTTTTTAGGATTTTAGGTGAGGAAGGTTTGAATAGACAGACCACAGAGGATTTTTAGGGTAGTGAAATGATTGTGTACAATACTATTATGGTAGATACATATGATTATGCATTGCCAAAACCCATAGAACATGTACCACCAAGAATGAACCTTAATGTAAACTATGGACTTTGGGTGATAATGATGCATAGGTTTAAGTAACGTAAATACAGGTTTATTGAGTGTAACAAATGTACCAGTCTAATGGAGGAGGTTGATAGTAGGGGAGGCTGAGCATGTGTGGGGACAGGGAGTATATGGGAACTCTGTGTACTTTCTGCTCAATTTTGTTGTGAACCCAAAACTTCAAAGTCTATTTTTTTTTAAGGATCTGGAACGAAATAGTGGTTACACACACACAATATTGTGAATATACAAAATCATTGAATTGTGAATTGTAAAAGGTGAATTTTATGCTATATGAATTATATTTCAATTATTAAAAAATAACATGTACTAAGAATATTACATAAATAGCATCAAACTGTATGTAATCTTTTGGAATTAGCTTTTTTCACTTAGCGTAATTCCTGGAGATTCATCCAAGTTTTGCTTGCATTCTTTTTTATTGCTTCATTTCTTTTTATTGCTGAGTACTATCCCATTGTATGGATGTACCGCAGTTTATTTGACCATTCACAGGATGAAGGATGTCTTGAGTATTTTCAGTATTGGCTATTATGAATAAATCTGCTGTAAACATTTGTATACAGGTTTTTAAATAAAAAGTTCTCATTTCCCCGGGGTAAATGGTTAAGAGGTGCAATTGTTGAGTTGTATGATAATTGCATGGAGGCTTTTTTTTTTTTAAAGAGACAGGGTTTGCTCTGTTGCCCAGCTGGAGTGCAGTGGCGTGATCGTGGCTTACTGCAGCCTTGAACTCCTGGTCTGAGGTGGTCCTCCCACCTCAACCTCCTGATGTAGCTAGAACTACAGGTTTGTGCCACCACACCTGGCTAATTTTCTGTAAAGACGGCATCTCTCTATGTTGCCAGGGTGGTCTCAAACTCCTGGCCTTAAGGATCCTCCTGCCTTAGCCTCCCAAAGTACTGGGATTACAGGTGTAAGCCACAGCACTCAGCTGCATGTTAGTTTTATATCAAACTATCAAGCTGATTTTCAGAATGCCTGTACCATTTTACATTCCCACGCAGCAATATATGAGTAATAGTTTCATGCCAGCATCTGGGGTTGGCACTGTTTTTTGTTTTGGCCATTCCAATAGGTATGTACCAATATCTCATTGTAATTTTAATTTGCATTTCTTGATGGCTAATGATGTTGAACATCTTTTCATGTGTTTTCATTAGATACTGAATTTAATCAAGCCTCAAGATCTTTCTGCCATTTTACAGGAAATATAAAAGAGAAATAAATTCAGTGATATATCCTGGGGAAGCAATCAGTCAAATGCAAAATGTGGAACATTCTACGGGATGTATGTCCTAATTTCTATAATAAATCAGTGGCTTGGGGGAAAAATGTATGTAGAGAGGTGATTGTTACAGAATATATAAGAGACTTAAGAAAAATAATAATCAGATGCAATATGTGGATCTTGTTTGGATTTTGATTTGAGCAAACCAACTAGAAAAGTATCTTGAAACAACTGGGGAAGCTTGAATATGGACATAGTATTAGACATTAAGGAATTATTGTTAATTAGACATGTTGATGACATGATTGTTTTAAAAAATTCTGATCAGGTAGATATTTGTACTGAATTATTTACATGGTAAATGACATGATGTCTAGGATTGTTTTAAAACACCCTAGCAGAAAAAGAATAAGGGAAAAAAGAGGGAAATGGAAGGTAGAGAAAAAAGATTAGCAGAATGTTGACAGTTTTTGAAAACATGGGTGGTGGGTACCTGAGAGTGTACTTTAATATTCTTCTTGCCATTGGCAATACTTGAAATTTTCCATGATAAAATGTTTTGAAAAAGTCTTTATTAAAACGACATTTTGTATTTTAAAATAAAACATCAATTGTTGGCCTTAAGGAATTTAGTTTTCTGTTATAAAACAAATTCAACCTTGATGAAAAAAATCTGATTCTAGAGCACAAACAACAAAGTTACATTTTTCATTCAGGCAGAAGAAAACAAGAGATTGAAAGAACTCCAGCTCAAACAAGAAGAAAAACTGGCTATGGAATTGGCAAAACTAAAACATGAAAGTCTAAAGGACGAAAAGATGAGGCAACAAGTAAGAGAAAACAGGTATCTTGGTTTCTCTAAACTTCATTTATTTAGTCTTTATCTTTAAACTCTTACGTAATTCTTAGCACCTGAAAGTGAAGTTTCTTTGTTTATATCTTTTCACTTAGTTAATATTTTGCCTGGAAATACTTATTGCTTTAAGTTCTATAAATATTTATTTGAGAAAATAAGTTGTATTCATGGAAGTGCGAATATTTACAGTGAAAAATAAATATCAGTCCCCCTGCTCTTTCCTTTACGCATAAATTTTAAAATGACCTCTTATAAAAAACGAATTCCTAATCTTAAGAGAAACCTTAGGTAATAACTAGTTTAATTTTATACCTCTACATACATTTCCTACAGTATTTTTGGAATGACTCTTGAGCCTGTGTTTCAGTACCTCTAGTAACTGCAGTAGGAACTTTTTAAAAGTTTAATGTTAAATAATCTTTACCCCCCTATTGTTTTAAAATTAATTTCTCTGAAATTCATGCATCTATCTTCTTTAGGATGTCCTTTCATACATTTGAACACACTAAATGTTTTCTTCTGTAAGTTAACCCTTGCTCCTTCAGTTGTTTCTTATATAACCTGGCTTTAAGTTTATTCATCATCCTGGTTTCTTCTCTGATTACAGTTTAAATTATTAGTGTTCCTTAGTGGTCCCCACCCTTCTGTATAATACTCGAGGAAAGACTGCCAGCTACTCCAGATGACAGGACATTATTCTAGAATGTTTCTTGATCCTGCCTAAGGTCGAATTACTTTTTAGGAACAGCCTTGTCACAGTGTTAATCAAAACTCAGGGCCAGGTAAATGCTAATCATATACTTATGTAATTGAATATATTGGAAATTTACTTTGATAGTTATTACATTTTATCTTAATTGAGCAGGATGTCTACAGAATATTACAGGAACCATGGATGAGCTTCAGGGATTTTTGAACCTTGTTAAATTATATTAATATGTTTGGCAAATGTATCCATGTGCATTTTTCGGGCTCCACAACTCTAATCAGATTCTCTAAGAGATTACTGATCCTTAGAAAAGAAATTTAGAATTACTGCTAAAATCTGCATATTGTTCTAGTCTCAAACTATCTTTTTGGACCCTAATTCTCCAGTCATCATTAGCTGTTACTCATGGTTTTTTTTAATCACCTGAAGATGAAATATTTCTTATCTCTAATTCACTGAAAACAAGAATTAAATAGAAGAGCTTTTCACTTGTAGCAATTGCAGATTAGGTTATTCAGATAAGTGTTCCTCCTGAGAAAACATCTAGGAAAAGCATAAAATTAAGATCTGTGAAAGGAAGGAAACAAGAATGTGAGCTTGGCATTTGTGGTGGCATTTCCTCTAGAGGTTTCTGCTGATTCCAAAAAATGGCTGAGAGTTAAGTGAAGCAGAGCTTGGCCAATAAGCATATGGCAGTATGTTCAACAGCGTTCTACAAGCTGTACACTTAAGATTTGTGCACTTTAGTGTGTGTTTTACTTCAATAATACAGAATTGGATTTTATTAGATAGACATAGATTAAGGGATAATCTGTGAAAAGGTTCTGGAAAATATTCAGAATAAAGCATGGAGAGACAAAAGGACAGAAAAATACAGATGAGAATTTAAAAGAGGTATGGGCTATGGTACAAAATTCTAGCAGACGTATTAATATAATTTTAGTCCTGGTAGAGAGGTGAAAGAGGATAATACAGAAGCATTATTTGAAGAGATGCTGGCCAGGAATTTTCAGAAAATTGTAAGTAATGAAAACTATACTTTCAATTATCCTAATAAAACTTTTAAAATCCAACAGTAATAGAAAATCATAAAAAAAGCAGCCAGAACAAAAAAGATTATTACCTCCAAAGAGACAACAGTAAGAAGTATGACTTAATCCTGAATAGAAACAGTTGAAATTAAAAGAGAGCAGATTTACCTGGGTATGAAAAAAATAGAATGAACGAGTAAGACCTAGTATTTGATAGCACAACAGGGTGACTAGAGTCAATAATAATTTCACTGGACATTTAAAAATAACTGAAAGAGGATAATTGGATTATTTGTAACACAAAGGATAAATGCTTGAGGGGATTGATACCTCATTTTCCATGATGTGATTATTATGCATTGCATGCCTACATCAAAACATCTCATGTACCCCATAAATATACACAAATATATACTGTGTACCCACAAAAACTAAAAGGAAAAAAGTGCTTGAGTATATACAAAAAAATTTACAAATCACCCAGAATTGTATACCTTGTGAAAAATGTTTTCAAACCAACTCATTCAGTTGAGTACTCTTTCACATAGAGTATGCTTCCTCTCAGCAGTGTCAGAATTGCTAAGAGTTTCTTTATTTTGTGCAAAAGCCATACTAAAATTTTGACTGTCATGCAGAAATGGACCATATTTCAAATTGGTATATTCATGTGCAAATTGGCAGGTCTAAATTCAGGGAAATGCTCTGATGCTTAAAATGTATCCTAATTTATTTAAAATCACCTATATTAAGATTAAGCTTTTTTAATGTAAAAGAAATAAATTTTTTAAATGCATGGCACATTTAAAAAAATCTTTGAAGTTTATTTTGAAAATATTTCTTTGAGCTCAGAAATGATAAGACTCCTGTTAATTGATTTTGGAACACATGGTTTTGTACTCCAAGAAAGTACTTAAAAGATAATTTAACTTTGCTGCTGTTTTTAACTGGAGTTGGGAAACTTACTGTTTATTTTTAGGAATCCTATTTTAAATTATGGCACTAAACAATTAGTAGTTATAATTAATTGCCCAATTAATTAAATGTCTTTATTACACAGTTAACACATACTGTTATGAAAGCAAAAGCAAGTACCTCATATCTCATTTATATTTAAGTTCAGCAAAAACCATTTCAAAGAAAAGACAGACACAATTTTTCCTTCTTAATACTATTACCATTACCTTGCTAATACTAGTACAATTATGTTCTGGACTGATAATCAAGCTGTTAATTCATAAAATAGATGAGATGAATTAAAAGAGCACAAAATAACATTTTCTGATAATGTTATTCTCAGAAATAACAGAAGATTGATCACCAATAGTCCTGCATTAAAGGGAATACTAGCAGTTCTTCGTTAGGTATTGATAGAAGAAGAAAAATGATCCCAAGCTTAGTTTTGGAACTGCAAGAGGTACATGTGTAGTAAATTTAGGTGAAATTTGAATGTATAAAACATTGTGTCTTTTGGGAATTAAAACATGTAAAGAGTTAAAAATATGACAAAAATGAGATAGGAAGTAAATGAAGTTAAAGTCAAGAATCTTGCATTGTCAAATAATAATCGATAAATTTACTCTCCTGGAAACAAACATGCTGTAATATCTGTAATAAAAATTTGGAAAAGAAAATATAACTGACTAATAGAGAATAAAACGTGATAATTGGAATTGATGATTCCAAAAAAGTCATGTGAAAAAGAGTTGACATAGCAGGCTTGAAGCTGCTATCTTAGAAAGTCCTGCTTGGAAGTTTGGTCCTTGACTGGTGTCTGGAAACTGGGCTTTTGAGAAGTTTCTTACCACTTAACTGCTAAGAGTGACTCACTGTGCCTAAACTGTGAAAACAATATGGATTATACTGAATACCCATTTTCTTTCTGGGAGTCTGAGATTTGGTACATTTTAAGTAGAGGGTGCCTAAGTTACCACCCTCAGTTAGAACCCTGGGCACTGAGTCTCTGATGAGCTCTAATGTTGTCTGGCAGACATTTCACACATCACAACTCATTGCTGGGGAATTAAGCATGTCCTGTGTGTTTCCACAGGTAGAGGCCTTTTCCACTTAGTTTTCTCTGGATTTCACCCCATGTGCCTTTTTCCTTTGCCAATTTTGCTGTGTATCCTTTCTTTAAAGTAAATCATAGCCGTTGAGTATAACTATATGCTGAATCCTGTATCCTCCTAGTGAATCATCTAACCTGATGGTGGTCTTGGGAACCCCCAACACAGAAGCAAAAGGGAGAGAAGAGAGAACATAGGACAGGGAGGACAAGTAGAAAGAAGATACAAGCTTGTAAATGGAAACCCAATTATATTAGTAGTTATAGTAAACATATTTGAACCATTTACCAAAATTGATGAAATGTATCAGAATAAAAATAGCAACAGATTTTCAGAGGAATCCATTTATACACAGTATTTTCTCTGTCCGTAGTGGAATTAAACTAGATGTAAGCAATTAAAAAAAAAAACTAGGCAATCTTTATATCCTTAGGTATTTAAAAATGTGCTTCTATATTACCCTTTGGTCAAAAAGTACAGCTGCTCCTTGATGTACAATGGGTTCATGTCCCAATAAACTACATTTCCAATTTATGACAGGTTTATTGGGATGCATCCCCATTGTAAACTGAGGAACCTACTGTGAATGCATATGGTTTTCTCACCATTGTAAAGTCAAACTATCATTAGTCAGAGACTGTCTATAATCCAAATTGAAATTAGAAAGTATTTTTAACAGAATAATAATGAAAATACCACATAGTGAAAGTGGCAGGATTAGACTGACATTAGCAAAATAGCAGAGTAGGCAGCTCCCAGCTCCCAGCCCATCCCTCCACCAGAAACATCAGAAAACAAGCAGAAACTCTCCGAACCAATTTTATAAGAACTTTGGACAGCATTCAAAGGTTTACTGCAATCAAGTGAATGCTGAAACAAGAAAAAGCCTAAAAATGGTAGGAAAGTTTTGTGATATCTTCACTTGCCCTTTCCTCATTCTCTCCTAGCTCAGAGGCAGGTAGCCCTTGTTCCCAGTGCAGGACCCTGGTCCCTGGTTCAGGAGGAGCACAGCGGATCTTATTCACAAATTGTTGGGCATATCTGTTCTAACCTACCTTGGGGCTACCTGAAAACCTAACACAAGTAGGCCAGAAGGACAAATTGCATCTCTGACAAGGATTTAATATCTGAAATATATAAAGAACTCATACAATTCAATAATTTAAAAAACCCAGTTCAAAAATGGACAAAGAACTTAGACGTTTCTCTAAAGAAGATGTTCAGTGAATGATAAGTACATGAAAATATACTCAACATTATTTGTCATTAGGGAAATGCAAATCAAAACCACAAGAAGAAACTGTTTCACATCTAATAGGCAATTTTAATAAAAGTAGTGGAAAATAATAGGTATTGCCAAGAAAGTGGAAAAATTGGAACCCTCAGAAATTGCTGGTAGAAATGTAAAATGATGGAGGTGCTATGGGAAAAAGTTAAACACAGGATTACCATATGAGCCAGCAATTCCACTCTTAGGTATAAATATACAAAAAATTCAATAGTGAGACTTAAATGGATACTTGTATACAAGCATTTGGTGCAGCATTATTTACAATAGCCAAAATGTTGAAACAACCTGAATGTCTATCAGATAGGTAGATAAACAAAGTGCAGCATATATACACTATACAATATCCTTCAGTTATAAAAAAATAATGAAGCACTGATACATGATAAAACATGAGTGAACCTTGAAAACATTATGCTAAGTAAGCCAGACATAAAAGGACAAGTATTGTATAATTCCACTTCTGTGAAATATCTAGAATAGGCAAATAGACAAAATGTATATTAGGAATTACCAGGGGTTAGGGAAAGGGAAGAATGGGGAGTTACTGTTTAAGAGGCACAGCATTTCGCTTTGAGGGGAATGAAAAAGTTTTGGAAATAGTGTTGATGATTGCAGATCACTGTGAATGTAATTAACACCACTGAGCTGTACCTTTAAAAATGGCTAGGATGGCAAATTTTTGTTACATATATTTTCACACGGTAAAAAATGGTATAGAACTGAAAAAAAAAAAAAAAAAAACCCAACTTCTGGCATATAGTTAAGGCTGTTCCTCAAGGGTAGGTCTTAATCTGAAATAACTATATTAGAAAGGAAGACTCCGTCTGGAATTATTAGAAAACAAACTGCAAATTCTCTTCTGGAATGATTACAAGAAGAATGTAGGAGGAAGGCAATAATAAAGATAAGAGCAGAAACGAGTGAGTTAGAATATAAACATAGAGTAGAATAAATAAAGCCAAGAATTGTGCCATAAAAAGGTGAATAAAATTGACCCCTTGGTAGGAATGATAGAGTAAAAGAGAATGCACAAATAACCAGTTTTTGGAATGGATAATGGGATATCACTATAGATCATACAAACACTTAATGGACCAAAGCAGGATATTGCAAACAATTTTATGAAAATAAATTTGAAAACGTAGATGAAATAGATAAATTTTTAGCACATTTTACCAAACTGATTGGCATAAGAAGAAATAGCTAAATGTTCCTATAACTTTTAAAGATATTGCATCTGTAATTTAACCTTGTCCACAAATAAACCTACAGGGCTATGTGAATTTTACCAAACATGCAGGACATAGTAACACCAGTGTTACATAGTTCTGTAGAACAGAGAAAGAGGAAGCACTTCCCAATTTGTTTTAATCAGATCAGTACCTGAAGAGGATATTATGAGAAACCTGTAGACTAATCTCTCTCATGAATTTAGCTCCTGTAATCTGAAGTATTAGTCAATATGAAATCCAGTGCTATATAAGAAAGATAAATCATCCTGACCAAATTTAATTTATTCCAGGAATGCAAAGGTGGTTTAACATTTTTAAAAATCAGTAAATGTAATTCATTTTATTAAAAATTATATGATTAGAAAAAGCCCATTGATATTAATCATCATTCTATGATTTAAAAAAAAAAAAGAGTGTAGCAAACTAGGGATAAAGGGAATTTACAGCAATATTACCCTTAATAGCAAAATGTTAAACACTTTTCTTCTGACATTGAAAAGAAGACAAGGATGCCTGCTCTGACAACTTCTAGTCATCTTTGTATTATACATACTAATCAGTGCAGTAGGGCAAGAAAAAGCAAAGACAGGTGCCAGGATTGGCATTAAAGGAATAAAACTTTAATTATTCACAGATGATATGATTATATGTGTAGAAAATCCTAAAGCATCTATAAATAGCCGGATGGCTCATACCGGTAGTCCCAGCACTTTGCAAGGCCAAGGCGGGTGGATCACCTGAGGTCAGGAGTTTGAAACCAGCCTAGCCAACATGGTGTAACTCCATCTGTACTCAAAACACAAAAAATTAACTGGGCGTGGTGGCACACAACTGTAGTCCCGAGCTGAGACAGGAGAATCGCGTGAACCTGGGTGGCGGAGCTTCCAGTGAGCTGAGATCACACCACTGCACTCCAGCCTGAGTGACAGAGGAAGACACTGTCTCCACACACACAAAAAAAGAAAGAATCTAAAAATAAGTAAGAATGAATAAATCATTCTACCAAAAAAGCATATGCACTTATATGTTTACTGCTGTGCTATTCATAATAGCAAAGACATGGAATCAATCCACTTGCCCATCAGTGGGAAATTGGATGAAGAAAATGTGGTACATATATACCATGGAATACTCTACAACCATAAAAAGAATGAAATTATGTCCCTTGCAGAAACATGGATGGAGCTGGAGGCCATTATCCTAAGCAAATTAATGAAGTAACAGAAAACCAAATACTGCATATTCTCACTTATAGGTGGGAGCTAAACATTGATTACACATAGACATATATGGGAACAACAGACACTGTGGACTACGAGAGGGTGGAGGAGGAGTGGGTTAAAAAACAACCCATTTGATTCTGTGCTCACTACCTGGGTGACAGGAGCTGTACTCCAAACCTCAGTATCACACAATATTCCCATGTAACAAATCTGCACAGGTACCCCCAGTATCTAAAAGTTGAAATAAAATCTTAAAAACTACTTTAGTAGACAGTTTGGCAGCTTCTTAAAAAGCTGAACATGCATCTACTGTATGACCTGATCATTCCACCCCTAGGTATTTATCCAAGAGAAATGAAAGCCTATGACCACAAATAACTGGTACTCAGATTTCCATAGCAGCTTTATTTGCAATATCCACATACTTGAAAGAACTCAAATGTCTGTCAGCATGTGAATAGATAAGCATGTGAGTGGATTATTGATAATCTAAAATAATATCCTGCAATAAAAAGGAGTAAGCAATTACTATATGCAATAAATGGATGTATTTGAAAATACTGAGTGAAAGAAGCCAGAGAAAAAATGGTACCTGCAGTATGATTCCATTTATATGAATTCTAGAAAATTCATAATGCCTAAAGTGACAGCAAATTAGCTTGCCTCAGGATAAGTACAAACATAAAGGGGTAGAAGAGAGGTACTACAGGTTTATAAGGAAATGATTGGGATGTGTTCATGATCTTGACTGTGGTGATGGTTTCACAGGTGCATACATATGTCAAAACTTAACAAACTGTATCCTTTAAACATGTTCAGTTTATTGAATACTGTACATCAATAAAACTGAAAACTAAAAAATTCAGTGATGTTGGGTATAAAGTTAGTATATAAACATTGTATTTCTGTAAATTATCAACAATTAGAAAATGAGATTTGAAAAATCTGTACAAGAATACGAAAAATACCTAATGAAAAGTATAAAACTACCAAAATAAAACACAGATATAAAACATTGATAGCCTTTTAAAAAACCAAATAATTAGGATATACTATGTTTATTGAAGACTCAGTAATGTAAAGATATTAGTACTTTCCAAATCAATTTATGAATTCAGTACAGTCACAGCCAGTTTTGTTTATTGTGAAGTCTGACAAGCTGATTCTAAAATGTATATGGAAATGAAAGTATCAAGAATGGCTAAGACAGTCTTTAAGAAGATGACAAAAATTGGAGACTTATCCAGGATATGAAGATGTATTATAATTTACGGTAGTTGAGATAGTGTGGTATTGACACAGGATAAGCAAACAGATAAATGTAGTAGAACACAGCAGTCCTTTTCAACCAGAAAATGTAAGCCCTAATGCCCTAACGACTTCCATTAAATATAATGAATTATCTCTCCTATGGATGTAAAATAATAACCTGCTGTATTCCCTCTGAGTAAATTAAAAATACAGTCACTCAGTTTTCTGTGAGGTTTTCATTCTCTTACGGTCCTAACATTTAAATTTGTTTTTGTTTTTTTAAACAGCATTGAGCTCAGAGAATTGGAGAAGAAATTAAAAGCAGCTTACATGAATAAAGAAAGGGCAGCTCAGATTGCTGAAAAGGATGCCATTAAATATGAACAAATGGTAATCAGGTTTCTGGTCATTGTTTTTAGCTTCATTTAGAAAATAAAAATTAGACTTGTTTCTTAAAAAATTGTCATATTGTATAAAGAATTTACATTGCTAGATTTCTTAAATATTTGTAAATTTTCAGATCCTTAAGATGTAGAAAATCCTGGGTGATTTCATTTTTAGTATTAGAGCCTTTCGGAAACATAGGTTGCTGCTTAGAATGACCAGCTATATTCAGTAACTCCCAGCATTCTTTACAGTCTCTGATTATTCATTGACAAACTAGTACGGTACAGATTGTTAGCATGATAAGTATATTTTAGAATGTTATGAAATTTTTAATTTTTTAAATGTGTTTAAGAGTAAACTACTTGATAATTTTATGTAGGAAACTTTCCTGTTTTATAAAAGCCGTCTCTTTTTCTTGTGTTTCTCTTTGCTTTTATCCCCTTTTCTAACTCCTGATAGGGTACCAAGTTGAAGATAAGAGTTACTCTTGGACAAAGGAATCTCAGGCTTACTCACTAGGAGTGTTACGCTGTATGAATATAAAATAGGGTTTACTGAATTAACAGTTAATTAAAAGGGTCCACATCATCCCTTGAGCTCTCATTATCAAACAGAAGGGCCAATTATATATGAATGTATATATACACATACATATCTATTGTGTATGTCCACATAAACATATGTACACACACAAAGACACTCTTATGGGGTGATATCAAAATACTTAACCAGTGCAGTGCAATATGGGTATCAATTAAGAATAGATGCCATAAATGACACATATATGTGTGTGGTGTGTGTGTACAATTGTGTTAGTAAAGAAAATGTCTAGCGGGTACACAGCATGCTGTTAACAGCAATACCTTTAGGTGTGGCAGGTGATAAGAGAAGGTGGAGAGACTTCATTTGCTAAGACATATAGTTCTGTCCTTTGAAAAAGAAAGTAGCACAAACAATATCCTGTTTGTCCAGTGGTTTGCAGTTTTAATTATCCTGATAGTTGAGGTTATTCAAGTAGTTGTAGACGTTTTAATCTGACTCCTAAGAGAATTGTTGCTATTTTCCAAATAAAGATTGATCCACAAAATCAAAGTCCAATACTGCTAGGACTTGATGAGGTGTCATGCAAGTACTAGTTTTGGCTTTTTCTCTGAGCCTTAGTTTTCTTATCTGTAAAATGAGAACATTGTTTTCTGTAAGTGTGTGGTAATCTACACATAAATGTTATTGTCATCTCGTTTTTTCAGAAAGAATTTAGTAGAGCATGTACAAAGAAGATAATCAGAAAAATTTTTGGTCAAGTCATACTATCAGAGTATATGTTAAAGGCTTCAGTCATGTCAGGAATGACATTCAGTATTCATATTTTAATCTGTTTACTCTTTATGTTTGATGCTGCTGACCATTCCATCATTTGGGATGTGATCATAAAAGTAAAGCATAGTTTAAAAAATTGCCTCAATATATTTCATTTAAAACTTATTTTATTAAACGATTTGAAAAATGCTCAGAAGAAATAAGGGGTTTAACCCATCCAAGAAGAAAGACTGTCTCTTGACAATGGGAATGGTCTTGAGTGAATCAAAAGCTGCAGAAAACAGGCATAATAGCATCTGTGATTCTTTTCAGATAAAGGGCCTTTAATAAATCAGAAAGAGGAAACATCAAGGGCCAATGGCAGGAAAGAAAGTTTAGGCTAGGAGCTGCTCAAAGCCATTTAATAGCAGACCTGTAAGAAAGAGGTAGTACCATCTTTAAATAGCAGCTGATAAACAATGAAGCTAAAAATGATGAAAATTGCCTAGCTCAGTTTATAAATAGAATAATAAGATAATGACTGCTTTAGCAGCTAAACAGTTATTAAGAAAGTACTTAGAATTTTATTCATTGTTTTTTGAATGTGGAGTTATTAATAATCCTTATCAGGTATTGTCCTGGGAGAGCTACTTGAAAGGAGAGGAAAGCTTCTTTAGGGTCTGACTCATTATTCACACTCTTCAGCTAATAATAACTTATTTTTGCTTTTTAACCTAGACAGATGAAAAAATTTATGTAAAAGACTTTATAATATTCAATAACATTGGTGTAAATTATACTATCATACTATGTTCAAATTTGAAAATGGAAAGATCAATTTTGTTTGAATAACAGAAACGTGATGCTGAAATAGCCAAAACCATGATGGAAGAACACAAGAGAATAATAAAGGAAGAGAATGCTGCAGAAGACAAACGAAACAAAGTGAAAGCACAATACTATCTTGACTTAGAGAAACAACTTGAAGAACAAGAAAAAAAAAAGCAGGAAGCTTATGAGCAGTTGCTAAAAGAGAAACTCATGATTGATGAAATTGTTAGGAAGATCTATGAAGAAGATCGGTTGTAAGTTTATCCTAACTTTCTTACATGCCTAAATGTTCACTTTAGATTGATCGTAGGTTTGTTTGAGGAACTGAAACACCTAGAACAGTGCCTAATACATAGTAAGTGCTCAATAAATATTAGTTATGAACACATAAATTGGGACCAACTCATTGTCATCTCTGTTAGCATGATTAATAAATGAATTATCTGATGATTAATAAATGCTTGTGATTGAATGACCTAAACATTTGTTTTTCTTATATATGCCCATATCATATGTCAGAGGACATGTATTCTAATGAATTTTTTTGGTAGACAGCTTAAATATAGAGTGCTGCAAAGCTAATGTTTGTAGCATTTATGAAATAAGATGCATAAAACTTCATTAATAGGTTAGAGGAGACTATCACAGTATTTCACCCAAAGAAAAATTCATACCTGGCATTATATTTAGCACATAGTAAGCATTCAAAATGTTTGTTGCATGCACGAATGAAAAAAACTATAGTGTTTTTCTGTACATTATTATGAACAAAATGAAATTACTTTTTTATATTTTATTGTTTATGTTAAATCCGTACTTGTAACTGCTTTTCAGGGAAAAACAACAAAAGTTAGAAAAAATGAATGCAATGCGAAGGTATATAGAAGAGTTTCAGAAAGAGCAGGCTCTCTGGAGAAAAAAGAAACGTGAGGAGATGGAAGAAGAAAACAGAAAAATCATAGAGTTTGCTAACATGCAGCAGCAAAGAGAAGAAGATCGGATGGCAAAAGTTCAAGAAAATGAGGAGAAAAGGCTACAGCTTCAGAATGCGGTATTAAAATAACCACTTCTTTAACACTACTAAATTCTGAAATATTAGTTACAGAATTTGGGTCCTATAAATATTTATGTTTTTTAAAAAATTTAATAGTTGACACAGAAATTAGAAGAAATGCTGCGGCAACGTGAAGATTTGGAACAAGTGCGACAAGAATTATACCAGGAAGAACAAGCTGAAATATATAAGAGGAAGCTAAAAGTAAGTTTCAGAAATGGAAAGAATGATTAACATAAAGAAGAATATAATTTTGAGATGAAGCAGAAGGGAAATAGTACATTTAAATCCAACCATACTGGTAATTACATTATATGTAAATGGTATACTACAGTTAAAAGACAGAAATTTTCAAGCTGGCTAAAAAGATAGACTCAGGCATCAATTTATAAACTATTATAAAAAGCATGATGCAACTATGTTGTCTGTAATCATAACTTAAATATCAAGACACATAGTTTAAAAGCAAAAGGATGGTGAAAGATATATAACATACAGACGCTAGTCAAAAGCAGGTTGGCGTTGCTATGTTAATATGAGACAAAGTCAACTTGAGGACAAGCAATTCATGATAATACAGTAAATTCATCTAGAAGATGTAATAGTCCTAAAGGCATGTGAACCTAAATAATAAAGCTTCACAATACATGAAGAAAAACTGAAAGGAGAAATAGGCAAATCCACAATCAGAGTTCCAAGATTTTTTTTTCTTTTTTTCTTTCCAACTTTTACTTTAGGTTCAGGAGGTACATGTGCTGGTTTGTTACAGGGATAAATTTGTGTGTCATGGGGGTTTGGTGTAACATTATTTTGTCACCCAAGTAATGAGCATAGTACTTGATAGGTAGTTTATTGATCCTCACCCTCTTCCCATCTCCACCCTCAAGTAGGCCCCAGTGTCTGTTTTCCTTCTTTGTGTTCATGTGTACTCAATATTTAGCTCCTACTTACATGTGAAGACATGTAGTATTTGGTTTTCTATCCCTGCATTAATAAGCATAGGCTAATGGCCTCCAGCTCCATCCATGTTGATGCAAAGGATGTGATTTTGTTCTTTTTTATGGCTGTGTAGTATTCTGTGGTGTATATGTACATTATCCAGTCCACCATTGATGGGTATCTAGGTGGATTCCATATCTTTGCTGTTGTGACTAGTGCTGCTATAAATACACACATGCATGTGTCATTATGGTAGAATGATTTATATTCCTTTGGGTATATACCCAGCAATGGGATTGCTGGGTCAAATGTTAATTGTTTCCATTATTTGAGGAGTCACCACGCTGCTTTTTACAGTGGTTGAATTAGTTTACATTCCCACCAACAGTATATAAGCATTCCTTTTTCTCCGCAACCTTGCCAGCATCCATTATTTTGTGACTTTTTAATAGCCATTCTGACTGATGTGAGATAGTGTCTCATTGTGGTTTTGGTTTGCATTTCTCTAATGATTAGTGATATTAAGCACTTTTTCATATGCTTGTTGGCTACATATATATCATCTTTTGAGAGGTGTCTGTTTGTGTCCTTAGCCTATTCTTTATTTTTTAATTTATTTTATTATTTTTTTTTAGACAGAGTCTCATTCTGTCGCCCAGATTGGGGTGCAGTGGCGTGATCTGGGCTCATTGCAAGCTCCGCCTCTCGGGTTCATGCCATTCCTGGGACTACGGGCACCCACCACCATGCCCAGCTAATTTTTTCTTTTGTATTTTCAGTAGAGATGGCATTTCACCGTGTTAGCCAGGATGGTCTCAATCTCCTGACCTCATGATCCACCTGCCTCGGGCTCCCAAAGTGCTGGGATTACAGGTGGGAGCCACCACACCTGGCCAGCCTATTTTTTAAATAGGGTCGTTAATTTGTTTACATTCCTTAGAGATTATGGATATTAGACCTTTGTCAGATGCATAGCTTACAAATATTTTCTCCCATTCTGTAGGTCGTATGTTTAGTCTGTTGATAACTTTATTTCCTGTGAAGAAACTGTTTAGTTTAACTAGGTCCCACTTGTCAGTTTTTGTTTTTGTTACAATTGCTTTTCGAGTCTTCCTCATGAAATCTTTGCCACGTCCTATGTCCAGAATGGTATTTCAATGCATAGTTCTCATTAATCTATAGACTAAGTAGTCAGAACCGCAGGATATAGTGTTGAAAGCAGTATCAGTAAATTTGACCTGACATTTAGAGAATACGCCACCCAACAACAGCAGAATACAAATTCCATTCAAACATGGAACATTCACCAAGATAGATCATATTCTAGGACATAAAGGAAGTCTCAATAAATTTTCAAGGTTTTACATAATACCAGATATGTTTTCTGACAACAGTGGAATGAAATTAAAAATCAGTAATGAAAACATACCTGCAGAATCCTTAAATATATTATAATTAAACAATATATTTCTAAATAAGCAATAAGAAAAGGGGAATAAATCATATTGGAAATTAGAAAAATATTTCAAACTAAATTATTTAAAAAACAGCATATCAAAATATGTGACGTGCAGTTAATGCAGTGCTTCGAGGAAAGTTTCTATCTTTAAATGCATGTATTAGAAAAAAGAATGGTTAAAAATTAATGAGTCTATGTCTACCCACTTACACAGAAATGTTTATGCAGCATTATTCATAATACTCTAAAAGTAGAAATAACCCAAAAGTAGAAATAACCCAAATGTCTGATGAATGGATAAACAAAATACAGTATATCCATGTAATAAAATGTTATTCAGCTATTAAAAGAATGACAGACTGATCATGCCAAAACATGGATAAGCCTTTAATTATAAATTAAAAAGTATGTGCCTCAAGAATGTTATATAAATGATATCAAACAGTATGTAACTTTTTCGAGTTGGCATTTTTATTCAGCATAATTTCCTGGAAATTCATCCAAGTTGCTTGTATTGATCATTTGTTAGTTTTTATTGCTGAGTAACATTCCATTGGTATGTATGTACCATTTTATTTGACCATTAAAGGGCATTTGGAATGCTTCCAGTATTTAGCTCTGATGAGTAAACTGCTGTGAACATTGAGGTAAAGCTTTTTGTATAAACATCAACTTTCATTTCTCTGCAATAAATGCTCAAGAATGTATTAGCTGGGTTTTGTGGTAATTGCATGTCAGCTGTGTAACAGACTACCAAAGTGATTTCCAGAACAGCTGTAGCATTTAACATTCCCATCAGAAATGTGTGAGTTACCCAGTCTGTCTGCATTCTCACCAGCATTTGGTGTTGCCACCGTTTATTTTTTAATTTTTTTCCTCCTCTGTCCTCAGAAGCTCAACAATTTTTTATTATAGCCACTTTTAAATATCCATGTAGTGATATCTTGTAGTTTTATTTTGCATTTCCCTGATGGCTAATGATGCTGAACATCTTTTCATGTGCTTATCTGCCATCCTCTTCGGTGTAAGATCCCCTTTGGTGAAATAGTTCTTCGTGTCTTTTGCTGATTCTCTAATTGGGTTGTTTGTCCATTTATTGTTGGGTTTTGAGAGTTCTTCATATATTCTAGATACTAGTCCTTTGTCAGGTGGGTGGTTTGCAAATATTTTCTCCTACTCTGTAGCTTTGTCTTCTCATCCTTTTAACGTGATCTTAGAGCATGGTTTTTCTTAGAGCAAATGTTTTCCATTTCTATGAAGTTCACTTTATCAGTTTTTCTTTTTATGGATCATGCCTTTGGTGTCAACTCTAGAAACTCTTTGCCTAGTTCTTGAAGAATTTCTCCTCCTTTTTCCTAAAAGTTTTTTGTTTTTGTTTTTGTGTTTTGTTGTGTGTGTGTGTGTGTTTGCTTTTCCATTTTACATTTCAGTCTGTGATGTGTTTTAATTTTTGGTACAAACTATGAGACTTAAGTCAAATACGGTTTTTGCCATTGGATTTAGTCCAATTGTTCCACACCATTTGTTGAAGTGGCTGTTTCTCCAATGTTGAATTGCTTTTGCACCTTTCTTAAAACACAGCTGGCATGTTTGTATGGGTCTATTCCTGTGGTCTCTATTTTGTTCTGTTGGTCCTATGTATCCATCCCTCCACCAATACTACACAGTTCTGAATACTGCAGCTATACGGCAAGTCTTAAAATTTTTTTTTTGCTATTCTAGTTCCTTTGCCTTTCCATATGAATTTTTGAAGAATCTCTATAAATAATTTTTGCTGGGATTTTGATAGGAATTGAATTAAATATGAATATCAGTTTGGGGAGAATTGATAAATTCACTATATTAAATTCATGAACACAATTTGGCTCTCCCTTTATTTAGATCTTTGAATTTTTTTCATCAGGATTCTCTAGTTTCAGCATACAAATCCTGTATGTGTTTGGTCACATCTGAGTATTTCATTTTTTGAGCGATTATAAATGGAATGTTAGCTTTTATTTTGGTGTCCGTGTACTCATTGCTAGTGAATTGATATTTTTGTGTTTATCTTGTATCTTACAACCTTGCTGAATTCACTTGTTAGCTGTAGGAATTTTTTTCCCTACATAGTCAGGCATATCTTCTGCCCAGAGGTACAGGCTGTTTCTTCCTTTCTGATCTGTATATTTTTATTTCCTTTCCTTACCTTACATGCTGGCTAAAATTTCCAGCACCACTGGCTAGAGCTATGTTGAAGAAGAGTGATGAGAGTAGACATCACCTTTCCTTGTTGCTGATCTTAGGGGGAAGCATTAAGTTTTTAACCATTAAGTATAATGTTAATTATAGGTTTTTTGTAGGTGTTCTTTATCAAGTTGAGGAAGTTCTCTTCTATACCTGTGTCTCTGAGGGCTTCTTATCATGAAGGAGTGTTAAATTTTGTTAAATGCTTTTTTCTACTGATACAATTACGTACTTTTTCTTCTTTAACCTAGTATGTTACATTGATTGATTTTTGAGTATTGAACCAGCCTTGCATCCCTGTAATAAACACTGCTTGGTCATGGTAAATAATTCTTTTAATGGATGATCTATTTTCTAATATTGGGTTAAGGATTTGTGCATCCATATTCATGAGGAATATTGGTCTGTAATTTTTTATATTGGTTGCAGGGTAATACTATCTTCCTAAAATGAATGGGGAAATGTTTCCTCCTCTTCAGTTTTCTGGAAGAGATTGTGTAGAATTGGTGTTAAACATTTGATAGAATTTTCCAGTGAAACCATCCTGACTTGGGGTTTTATTTTGGGGGAATTTCAAGTTATTAATTCAATCTCCTTAATAGTGATAAGACTATTCAAATTACCTTATTTCATATTTGGTGAGTTTTGGTAGCTTGTGTTTCTCAAGGAAGTGATCCATTTCGTCTAAGTTGTCAAATTTATGTGTGTATAATAATTTGCAGTATTCCTGTATTATCCTTTTGTTGTCTGTAGGGTCTCTAGTGATATCCCATGTTTTATTCCTGATATTGGTAATTTGTTTATTCATTATTTTTTTTTCTTGGTCAGCCTTGTTAAAGGTCTGTCCATTTCACTGATTTTTTTAAGAACCAGCCTTTTGTTTCACTGATAATTGTCTATTTTCTATTTTTAATTCCATTGATTTCTACAGTTTTATTATTTTCTTCCTTCTGCTTATTTTCAGTTTACTTTACAGTTCTTTTTATAGGTTCTTGAAGTAGGGGCTTAGATTATTGATTTGAGACTTTTCCTACATACATGCATTTAGTGCTACATATACCTTTTCCTAAATGTATGCATTTAGTGCTATAAATGTCTCTCAGAACTGCTTTAGCAGCATCTCACAAATTTTGCTATCTCATTTTTATTAACTACAATGTATTTATTTTCCTTGGCATTCCCTCTTTGGCCCATGAATTATTTAGAAGTGAGTGACCATTGTAAAATTATATTTTTTAGTATGTATGAAATTTTTCATAATAAAATGTTCAGAAAATAAAAGCTTATAGGAAAGGACTTAACTGCTCCAACTATATTTGAATTTCCCTAAAGAAGTACTGATTGTCATTGATAGATAATTGTTTTTAAATTTTAGAGAATTTTGGAGAATGAAGGGAATATTAGAAAACTAGAGACGGGTAAGTGCAGTTTTGATTTTGAGGAGGACGTTGGAAACTGAAAAATACTTATGGGTGGTTTGGACAGCTTTTGTAATCAAGAATCTAGAATGATTCATAGTTACCATAGATTTCAGATGAATAAACTCAGGTGTGCAAAAAAAGCTTCTGTAACAGCTCTTTTCAAAGCAGTTATGTGTTAAAACTGAGTTGAGAAACAAGATGGTAAATATAAAATTTATTCATGAGTAGCAGAAAACAATCCAAAGGTAAACATATTCTTTATCCAGCTAGTTTTAAAGGGATGGACAATGTGTTATCATGAAAAGCCTTATAACTTTCTCAGTTTGTAATACTAAATTTAACCAATACTAATTTAACCAAACTCTATCACTCTTCCCTTATAAATCTGGTGTAAGCAAAGAGTTACTAAATTAACTTTTAGCTGTATTGTTGTTTAGGAAGAAGCAGAAAAGAAACTGAGAAAGCAAAAAGAGATGAAGCAAGATTTTGAAGAACAAATGGCCTTGAAGGAATTAGTACTACAGGCTGCAAAAGAGGAAGAGGAGAACTTTAGAAAAACTATGCTAGCTAAATTTGCTGAGGATGATCGGATAGAATTAATGAATGCTCAGAAACAAAGAATGAAGCAGCTGGAACACAGGAGAGCTGTGGAAAAACTTATTGAAGAACGTCGCCAACAATTCCTTGCAGACAAAGTAAGAAAAAGTTGTGGGGGTTTTTTGGTCGTTATCATTAAACAGCAATTAGCTCATGTATCATCCACTAAACATTTACTGAGAAGCTTTATATGCCAGACAGTGTTAGTATGTTTACTAATATATATATAAATTTTCTGACCATTTTTGCTTCTAGAAAATATTTATTGATGCTTTCTATGTGCTAAACACTGGTTGGTATGGAGAACATGAAAGGTAAATAAAACTAAGTCCATGTCACCCATGAATTTATGGTCTTGGTTAAGAAAAATATATAAAAAGTAATTATAAATATGTCATGTACATGTGATAATAGGTTACAGAGCTATGGATGTTTTGGTATGGCAGAGAGAGAAACAGATCATGAACACCCTGCATGCCATTTTAAGAAGGTGGGCTTTTCTAAGGGAAACCACTGAAGATTGGAAAGCTGTATGTTAAGATCTGCACTTTGAAAGACAATTCAAGTGAGAGCATTGAAGGTAGATAAGAGATGAGTAAGCTTAGAGATAGGAAGATCAGTAAGTAAGTTATTATAATAATCCCAGTGACAACTGGTGAAACCCATGCAAATGGAGAGGGGATCCACCCAAGAGATATTAAGGATATGGAATTGATGGGGCTTGGTGACCAGTGAGATCTAGAGAGGTGAGAGAAGACTTAAGGATACTACTAATAAATAATACTGTCATTCCATCTTTTTAATTATTTTTGAGTATTTTTATTTTAAGTTCCAGGATGCATGTGCAGAACATGCAGGTTTGTTACACAGGTATATACGTGCCATGGTGGTTTGCTGCACCTGTCAACCTGTCATCTAGGTTTTAAGCCTTGTATGCATTAGGTATTTGTCCTAATGCTCTCCCTTCCCCTTATCCTCCCCTACCCCCCGACAGGCCCACAGTGTGATGTTCCTCTCCCTGTGTCCATGTATTACTACCGTCTTTAATGGGTGACTGGGTGATATTCTAAGGAAAGAGTATAGAGGAAAAGAAATGATTTTGAGGGGGCAAATAATTCTATTTTGTCCACCCAAAATGATTTGGGTGGCCCAGGGGAAGATTACTAGTTGGAAATGCAGATTTAAGTGTTGGAGAGGGAATTAAGTTTTTGGCTTTGGACACATTGATTTATGTCTCATCCGTAAAACTGAATACTTATATTCTCTCACTGGATTTTCGTGGTTTAAGAACCAAATGGATAATATGTAGGTGTTTTGAAAACTGGTAGGAAGAGAAGAATTTACTTTTAAAAGGAAGACTCAGTGAGACTTACGTGACTTTTAAAACTATACAAAGTAGGAGTCAAAATAATGCAAATGTTTCAAATATGAGAAATTTTTGGGAATACAAGTGCTGTTATGTTTCAGATTGGAGCTCATCTGTTCTCAGAAGCTAAGCAGAATCAGGCCTGGTTAGTAATTTGGATAGGAGAAAGCTCCTGGAAAAATTAGCAAGACAACTAACTAGAAATCAGACTAAAAACTAAATGGAAATCAGATAAAGTCACCTAATGCATAGACACTTATACAAATAATTTATGTCTTAATCTTTAAAGACTTATAAATGTTCCCAATATGAAGCTGTCGGCTTGGTTTTGTCAGTTCGATTGGGCAGCATTTTTGTTCTGCCCCCAAGGTAAGGACAGATCTTCATGATGAAACTCATTAACACCATTGTACAATCCTATAAGGTCTAACTATGTTTTCTGGATTTCAGAGATATTCCTAAATAGGTATCTATAATTCTGTCTACCTCTACAAAAATCATATGGTCAGACAAAATCTGAAACTTCCCAGGAGGTAGTTTCCTACCACCAAAGCTATTCAGAATTTGTCCTAAATGGATACGTTGATTTCATAACTACCTAAACTATTTAATTTACTGTAAATTTTTCTTTTTAGGATAAACATTGAATTTGGCCTACCAGATCCTTCTTAGGAAATCCTGCATTAGCCCAAATTAGACTCTACCATTGGACAAAAATCTATCAAGTTTGCTTTCCCCTGTAACATTACAGAACTTTCCTGTATCTCCTCTTTATAAGGAATGGGTGAATTAAGATAGAATTAGGTTTGAATGCAAGTGCAGTCTCAAATTAACAGTGGCTTAGTAGATTACTGTTCTTTCACGTAGTTCAAGTCATCTTTTCTATATGGCCCAGAATTTTGATGTGATTACGAGTATTCAAGAGCTCTTTCCTAAGAAATACTAGTGGAATTCTCATGCTTCATATCTTTTAAAATGCATATATATATATTATATATATTTTTAAAATATATATATTTTTAAAATATATATATTTTAAATATATATTTCACATCTTTTAGATATTTCTGATCTTCTTTATTCACTTTTTGTTTTACACTGAAAACTCTTCAGCATCTGGCATATGGTAAGCATTCAGTAAATATTTACTGTATCAGGCAGTCACTCCTTTGAATATTTTTTCCCTTGGTAATGAAGACACTTTCCTGAAAATATTTGTTTGCCTCCTTGTAATTTTAAAGGAATAATGATAGTAAAAAATGTGTACAGACTACAGATATGTGTACAGACATAAAATATATATTATCTAGAATCTTTTGAACTTAGTGTCATAAATAGTTCATCAATTTTATCTAATTCATTGCATGAGTAGTTTTATTTGAAAACTTCGTATAAGATTAATGTACTTTGTGATAACAAAATTTGATCTGCATTTTCAGCAACATGAACTAGAAGAGTGGCAGTTGCAGCAAAGGCGGCAAGGATTTATTAATGCAATTATTGAAGAAGAAAGGCTAAAACTTCTCAAAGAGCATGCTACAAACTTACTAGGCTATCTCCCTAAAGTAAGTGAGATTTATCTCAAGCTGTAATCTTCATGACCTTTTATAATGAAAAAAACATGGTATTTGGATTTTAGACTGCCTAGATTTTGCTCACTTCTTGCTCGGTTATGAAGCAGTGATGGGATCCTGTCCAGGCACTGAACCTCTCTGGGCCCATTTCAGTATATCTACAATGATTGGTCTTGGCACATTATTAGAGGTATGAGCTTGATTTACTGAATTTGTACTTTATTTATCACCCAGACTGGAGTGCAGTGGCAGAATGTCAGCTTACTGCAATCTCTGCCTCCCAGGTTCAAGTGATTCTCTTGCTTCAGCCTCCTGAGTAGCTGGGATTACAGGCATTTGCCACCACACCCAGCTAATTTTTGTATTTTTAGTAAAGACAGGGTTTCGCCATGTTGGCCAGGCTGGTCTTAAACTGTTGGCCTCAGGTGATCCATCCGCCTCGGCCTCCCAAAGTGCTGGGATTACAGGTGTGGGCCACCACACATGGCATAAGCCACCACACATGGCATGAGTTTGTATTTTAGAGGTTCTTTTCTCCCCTTTTAGTATATGAAATCTAAAGCTACTCTACAACAACTGTGATACTTATACGCCAAAGCTGAGAATGTGTATGAAAACATTGTCATTGGTAACACCAGTAATAGGAACATGCTTGAACCGAGTTTGAGACAGATCTGCTCTATAGTAGGAAGTTGTAACTAGTTAAACTTGATTTTTAAAATTCCAGAAGATAGTGAATTTTAATGTATACCTGAGACACACTGTGACTTCAAATAAAATAGTAACTGGCTGGGCATGGTGACGCATGCCTATAATCCTAGCACTTTGGGAGGCTGAGGCAGGAGGATCACTTGAGCCCAGGAGTTCAAGATCAGTCTGGGCAACATAGGGAGGTCCCATTACTACACAAAATAAAAAGTTAACTGGATGTGGTGATGCACGCCTGTAGTCCTAGCTACTCTGGAGGCTGAGGTTGGAGGATTGCTTGAGCCTGGAAAGCTGAAGCTGCAGTGACCCATGATCTTGCCACTGCACTCCAGCCTGGGCAACAGAGTGAGACCCTGTCTTAAAAAAGTAGTAACAGTTTCATAGGACACATAAACATCTAGACTTATATAAATAAGATCACTATCTTTCAGCTATAGAAATGCCGTTTCATATTTTATTCAGTAGAATCAAGTGCATATTTTACATTCAGTCTGGTGCTAAGGAAGGAAAAATATATAAAATATATAGGTAATTATTGCCTGGCCACAGGACTTTTGATAGTCTAATTGGTTACATAGGATTAAGGAATGCAAAATGATGTATTAATGATAAAATCCATATGTAATTAATAAATTTCATAAAATAAATTATAAACTGTAGGAATGTCTTTGGGATGTGATATTTTTGTAGAGGAAATAATTGTGGAGGCAGCAGGAGTGATTAATAAACTTGATATCCAAAAATGATCTTTATCCTTTAGATCCTAATGGCGCCAAATGACCTCAGTTATCCTTAAAATTCTTTAGATTGCAAGATAAGTAAATATTTAATTTTGTTTTAAAGAGCCCTTTGCAGTATACTATAGGGGAAAAGAACAATAGAACAGTGAAGAATTCCAGAGGGTTTGCTTAAATGGCTTACCTCCAAACCTGGATTCTTTTCTGCAAGACTGATTGATTGCTGATTAGCCATAGAACTGACACATGAAGAACTAATCCCATGCATGAATCTATCGAAGCTCACCCTTATATCATATTATAGAGCTATTTAAAGAAAAGGGTAGGGTACACTATAGATGAAGTGCCTTCCTATCTAGGTAATCCAAGCAGTAGAACTTGTAGAAGAGCTCAGATTCATATGACAAGCTCCTACACTAGAGCTGATAAATCAGAAAATTGGGTCAGTCTAGGAATATTCAATATATATGTAAAGTCTTATTTTGTTGAAAAGTGTTGATTTTTTTTTAAAGTTTCATTAATCTATTGAACAGATTTCATTACCTTGGTGATAACTTTACTAACCTCATGTCTTTGTCAGTCTTAAAAGCATTTAGTGAAATATTCTGATATTCAAAAGTAACCCACAAAATATTTTTCTTGTAGGGAGTATTTAAAAAAGAGGATGATATTGATCTGCTTGGTGAAGAGTTTAGGAAAGTGTATCAGCAAAGGAGTGAAATTTGTGAAGACAAATGATAACATCAAAATTGGGTAAACCCTAGATTTTTCGTATGTTACCACTAGATGTCAGCATAACTTTTGTTTTACAGTTCAGTGGCAGTAGGAATCCATTGTCTATTTGGATTTTGTAAGTCATCACTGAATTTATAACTTGTAAACAATTATCAGATAAAAATTAATTTTAATCAAACTGTTATTTTTTGTACTGATAATTTGAAAATCCGATTTCTACCACACTACAGAGCATTGTTTGCATCCCCATCCTCAAGACAGTATATGTACCTTGACTAATACAGAACTCTACCCCAAAGTGAACTAACTGCCTTCTCTCTGTATTTAGGAACTTTCCTTACTCGATTTAGCCAGGGAAATAAATATTTGGAATTTTCTTTTAAAGCATCTTTTTCGGTCTACTTTAAGGGAGGAGAACTGTAAATGAAAAGAGTCAAGAATTTTATTATCTAATGTGCTTAATTGTCACGTTCAGTAAGAACTTAACAAACTCAAAAATAGCTAATAAGTCATAAGATAGCAGAATCAAAAGTTAAATTGTTGCTTTATTTTACAAAATTTTTTCTAATAACTACATATTAGAATAATGCATCAGTTTTATATCTCCCAAATCTAAAAAGGGAATTCTTTGAAATTATTTTGATTTCATAACTATATTACTTATGAAGAGTAAAAATAATTCAAACCATTACAATAAGTAAAATGGGTATCCACCACATACTGTCATAGAGACTAACTGAAGTAGGGATCACTTATGAATTTCCCCATTCAAGTGCTTTCATAAATTCCTCCTCAGTGAAAGACAGCATCTTGGCAGCTTCAATATGCATCTGTTAAAAAAAAAATCAGTATTGTCTGATTTAGTATTAAGAGTAGGCCACCAAACAACAGGAAGTTTGTAAAAATGTGTGGATAATATATTGTCAGAATGTAAGTTCTGTTGTAGGAATGTATACTGTTAATTCCAATAAGCATGATATTTGAAATGGTAGTAATTACATTCAAGGACCAACCTATAGAATACTTTTTGTCTAACAGTAGTATTGAACCAACTTATTTTTAAGATAATAATTCTATAATATTGTAATACCTGACCTTTGCAAAGAAGGAAAGTGTCAGAACTATGAAGTTTTAGATAAAGCAGCAACAGTGGTTTGGAAGCAATGTTCACTCTAAGGTTTGAAGAGGCAAACAGTCCCCTAAGATAATAGTCATTCTTTAATGTGGTACTTTCTGTAGTTGAGACATACCTGTACTGTATTTTCCAGTCCCATTTTCTACACTAATTTACTTATGTGAAAATATCCACTTGCTTAGATGACACATACATAAATCTCACTATACATGTTAGATTTCATATGAATAATGCATTTTATATGAAATTCAGTGCCTAAAGATGTCAAAAATTAAACATACCTAAAGTGAAAAATGCTGAATTGTTTAGTAAGAAAGGTACAGATAATATGATGATTTAACTTTAATGACAGACTCACCTTTTGCCTTTTTAAAACATCAATTAATTTTAACTGTTTCTTGAACCCTATCATTAATTCTCCTTTTTGTTTTTCTAGCTTCTTGTTTTCTGATTTTAACACTTCAATTTTTTTATGTTCTTCATTTGCTATGTCCTACAAAAGGAAAAAAAAGTGCCATATATTCTTTAATATACAGCCTTTCAATGGACAGAATTATAGACTACCATCACAACAGTAATAAAAAGTACTTTTTAAAACTGAAATATAAATTTTTTTGTAGATAAAAATTGCTTTCCATTATCGAATTACTGGAATTTGATAGCTTTTAGTCATGCTCAGGTACTTCCCATTTTTAAAAAAGTTAAAAATAACTCAGTTCTAATTCTAGTAACAGCAAAGTAGCTTGTATTGAACCAACATAAACTCTGGATTTGTGAATTTTAAAAAATATATTTGAAGGCACAGATGAATAATCAATAATAAGTAGAAACTGGAAGTGGTATGATCTTTGAAAGAGCAGAAATACTGGTTTAGATCCACATTCAACTAGCTTCTCCTGAAAGCGCTTTCCAGTTCGTGGGTTCACAGAGATAAGAACTCAAGCAAAAAGTAGTAGTCTTATTGGACTGAGGAGTCAGAGAGCAGGGCTGCCAAGGTGGTACAAATTTTTAAGTAGGAAATTCTAGAAAAAAGAGACCCCTCAAAACATGCATACGTATTTCCCTCAAATGCTTGGCAGACATCTAAATACCATTTACAGGGTGAGACACCTAGGTACCTGTGAAAGGAAATGGCTGTAGTCTTTAGCTAAGCAGAGAATTTACCCACTTCCCATGACAAGGGGGAGACCAAGTTTGTAATCTTGGTAATAATGGACTGGATAAGGTCTTGAGCAATTTGAGCAAAGCAGAAAAAGGGTCAGTAGAAATCATTAAGTATAGGAAGATCTATACTTGAAATGTTAAAGGAAGTAATTCATACAAAAGGAAAATGATACCAGAAGGAAATCTGAATCTCTGTACACACACATAAAAAAGATGGAGAAAAAAATAGAAATAGTAATGTGAAATCTATCTATAGATATGTGTGTGTGTATAGAATTTTTCTTTTCAAAAACAAAAAACAAAAAAAAAAACACCTCTTTAAAAGATACAGCGTTAGCAAAATGGTGGATTAGGAAGCTCCAGGCCTTTGCTCCCCCCACTGAAAGACTAAATATATGATACCCAGACCAAAGTAGCTTTGGGAGAGCTCTAGAAACCAGTCAGTCAGCAGAAGCAACCAAAAGAATGCCTAACTAAGAAAAGGCCATACTCAAAATAGTAGGAAATGTCATGGTGTTTTTCTTACCCTTTCCCCACATACTCCCTCGCACAGCACAGTCAGGAGGAAGCCACCCAATTCCCAGTTCCCTCCCTTGGAATGGAAGGAAAAGAGTAGACTTGCTTGCAACATTCTGGTTTTTCTGGGGCCTGCCTGAGGGACTGGTATCTGTCTTGCCTGACTTAGTACTGATGGGAACAGCTGCGTCATTTGGATATCAGGTTGGAAGCTGCAGAAACAGGTGGTTGGTACCACTGAATGTGAGAGGTGCAGTGAGTCCACAGAACTGCAGGAACCTGGTGGCAAAAAATTATGGGCAGAGGAATACAATACAGCATCTAAATCTGTGAGAAGTAGGTGAGACTTTTAGGTAATTAGGACATTTAAAAGAAGCCATGTGTATGGAAAACTGGAATAAAAACACACAGGCCCAGGAAAGACACATCCCCAGAAAAGGTTTGAGAGAACCTCAAGACTTTACACCACGCTGATTAGTGAAGGTCTTTGCATGCAGCCAGTCTGCAAGACTGAGAGAACTGACTGTTTTTTCAAACACCCATTTTTCAACGTTAAGATCACAAGACATCCAAAGAAACAGGGAAACATGGACCATATTAAAGGAATAAAATTAATATCCAGAAATTTATCCTAAAGAAACAAAGGCTTCTCACTTATTAGACAAGGACGTTAAAATAACTGCCATAAATATGCTCCATGAGCTGAAGGAGAATATTGACAACTAAATGAAATCAGGATACCTATATATTAATAAAATGAGACTATCAACAAAAATTACAAAAAAGAACAAAACAAATTCTAAAGCTGCAAAATACAGTAACTGAATTGAAAAATTCACTTGAAGGGTTCCAGCAGAACAGGTCTTATACCTGCTGAACAGGTATAAGAAAGAATGAGCGAGCTTTCAGACAGGTCATTTGAAATGAGCAGGTCAGAGAAGCCAAAAGTAAAAGAATGAAGAAGAAAAGTGAACAGCAGCTAAGGGACACCATCGAGTGGGCCAATATATATATTAGTGTAATCTTAGGAGAGAGAGAAAAGGAGACAAATAACTTATTTGAAGAATAGCTGAAAAATTGCCAAATTTAAGGAAAAATGGATATACAAATACAAAAAGCTCCATGAACTCCAAGTAGGATAAACCCAAAGAGACCCCACAGCAAGACACATTTTAATCAGTCGAATGTCAAAGAGAAAATCTTGATAGCAGCAAGACAAAATGGCTCATCACATGCAAGGGAGCATCTGTAAGATTATCAACAGATTTTTCAGCAGAAACTTTGCAGGCCAGAAGTCAGTAGGATGATATACTTAAAGTGCTGAAAGAAAAAACACCCAGAAGAATACTATATCCAGCAAAGTATCCTTCAAAAATGAAAAAGAAAGACATTCCTAGATAAAAGCTGAGGAAATTCATTACCACTATATCTTCCCTACAAAATCCTAAAGAAAATCCTTCAAGTTGAAACAGAAGGATACTAGACAATAACGCAAAGCTATATGCAAATATGAAATTCTCCAGTAAATGTAAATATTTGGACAAATATAAAGGCCTGTATTATTTTAATTTTGGTTGACAACTCACTTTTCATTCTTTCATAGAATTTAAAAGACAAAAGCATAAAACATACTATAAATCTTTGTTAACGGGTACATAACCTAAAGATCTAATTGGTGACACCAGTAAAACAAGGTAGGACAGGGGCTGAAAAGCAGTAGAGTCTTTATATACGATTGAAGTTGCATCATTACACAAAATGAACTAAACACTAAGGAAGGCAATAAGGGAGGAAATGAGAGGCTAAAAGTCCTCAAGACATACAGAAAACTGTGAACAAATAGCAACAGGCCTCCCAATAACTTTAAATGTAAATGGACAAAACTCCCTAACCAAAATAAATTGAATAGAAGAATGGATTTTTAAAAACTAAATTCCAACTTTATGCTGTCTACATGCAACTAACTTTAGATCCAGAGATATGCATAGATTGAAGGTAAAAGGATGGAAAAAGATAATCTGAAATTTTGTAACCAAAAGAAAACAGGAGTGACTACAGTAATATCTGACAAAATAGACTTTAAGTCAAAACTGTTAAAACATACCAAGAAGGACATTATATAAGAACATATGAGCCAAACAAAAGGGCCAGTTCAGCAAGAAGATAGATACAATTATATATGTACCAAACATTAAAGTGCCCAAATATATGAAGCATTGACAGACTTGGAGAAAAGACCACTCTACAATAAAAGTAGACTTCAATACCCCACTTCCCATAATCGATAGAACCACTGGATAGAAGACCAATAAAGAAATAAGGGACTTGAACAACATTACAGACCAATTAGATTTAAGAGACATAAAAAACAATTCTCTAACACAAAGGCATAAGAAGGATATAATGGACTCTAGGGACTTATGGGTGAAGGGTGAGAGGGATAAAAGATTAATTGGGTTCAGTATTCACTGCTCGGGTGATGGGTGTA